AATCAGCGAACATGACAAGAGTGATTACTTCAAAAGCCCAAGTGAAATGCTAATGAACTTATGTCTTAGTTCTGATAAGATTGAATTTGGGGGCATGACCTTCCTATTTGATTAGGAATAAGTTATCAGTGTTGTTGCAGCTCTAGGGAAACCACGGTGGATTGTAGACTTGGCTACTACTGAGAGGCTGCCTGTGTCAAGTGGAAGTTTTGAAAAATCTAATAGGATATCTCACAGTGACCCTCTAGATTTGTTTCAAACCAGTAATTGACTGTGTTGGGATGAGTGCATGGGCCACTAAGGCAAATTAATGCCATTTTTTGAAGTGCTTTTTTTTTTCTTTTCTTTTTTTTTAGTCTCATGCTTACAGAAATTTTGTAAGTATAGTACACAGAACATTTTTTCCTAAACCACTAGAAATTAGCTTACTGGTATGAGAATCTTCCCTTCATGGACTTTAGTGTATGTTTCTTACAAAGACATTCGCTACATCACTACCAATATAACCACCAAATGCAAACCATTCCCATTGGTATATTGCTGCCATCTAATTCTCAGACTCCACTCAAGTTTTGCTAGTTGTCCCAATAATGTCTTTTATAACAAAAAGATCCAGTCCAGAATCATGTGTTGGATTCAGTGGTCATGTCTCTTTAGTCTCCTTCAGTCTGGAATGTTTCTTTAGTCTTTCCCAGGCTTTCATGATTTTGAAAGGCCAGTTATTATAGGATGTCTCTCAGTGTGACTTTGATGCTTCCTTGATGTTAGATTCAGGTTTGGTGGGAATATCACAGAAGTGGTTGTTGGGGTGGAAAATAACTTTTTCTTTACCCTCTTGAGCTCAGTGTTTGGAGGGCTTTGAGTTCAACTGACAAAAGACAGATTAGCAAAAGGAAAGGAAAACAGATTTAATGCACGTATGCACAGGAGTTCACAAAGGAATGTGACGCAAAGGGGCAGTTTAGGGTTTGGGGCTTATATACCAACTTAATAGGGAATGGGGAGGGCCAGAGGGACACTGCTGGGAGAACAAGTAACTTCTTAGGAAGTGGAGACAAAGGGCACTTAAAGATAAACAAATGACTTTGGGGAAAGATAAATGGGCCATAGGAGAATAGATGGGAGATAAATAGTTTTGTGACAGCATGTGTTCGGTTTTAGTGCCAACTTCTCTTTCTGAAAGAGAAGATCAGAGTCATTCCCAGGGATGAGGTTTATGACAATTGAATTTTTTTTGAGTTCTTTTGAGAGGCTCTGCTTTTAGGCAGATAAGGGATTTCAGGAACTCAAGTGTCTTTAGCTTAAAATAATTTTTATGCCACAGTGGCTTATTCTGGATCCCTTCATGGCACTGTATTCTCATTGTGTCATTTAGTGTGTGATTTCAGTTCCTCTCATAATAATGGTGTTCACTTTGATCACTTGATAAAGGGGTATCTGCCACTGTAAAGTTTCATGTTGTTTTCCATTTCTAGTTATCAAACGTATTTTGTGAGGGGGTACTTTGAACTTATGCAGATGTCTTTCAGTTTACACATATGTGAGTTTATATTATTATGGTCTCATGGTTTAATGGATTACAATCTGTTACTCTCATTATTTATTTTGATGCTTGGTTATCCCATATTTGGCCAATGAGAGCTTATTCATGCTGGCTTTTATGTCCTTTTAGCATGATTCCATCATTCTTTAAGAATTTCCTTGCTTTTGTGGGGGCACATGTTGTTTTGAGATCATCTTCTTATAGTTTCCTTGCCTTAGCTCTGAAACTAACCTTTCTCCCAGAAGCCCTGACTCCTTTTAGTGAAGAATGGTATTTAGTCCCCAGGATCTGGACGATAGTTGTGCTCATTGCTATCAGGGTGTTGCTGCTGCTCACAGACCCTCTCAGTAGGTGCGCGATCTCTTATCACTGCTGCTCCCACACCACCCCACCTCACCCCATGGGGATTCGTTGTCACTGCTCTGATTCCCTGCGCTTGGCTATAGTGTAATAGCACTCCTTCCTCATGCTGCCCGGGTCTCAGCACCCACATCAGGCTACCTTGCCCCTCCCACGGGGAGTCCTGTCTCGCTGGGTGCAGGCTCTCACACCCTGTGTTGGGCCCAGCCCCAGGTGGAAATGCTCCTTGCTTTGCTTAGGCTCTGCAGCTCTGTGGCTGGGCACCCCTGCCCCCTCCCTGTGGGGATGCCTTCTTTCCTCCACTCAGACTTTGAGCTGCCACTCCTCTGAGTATACATCTTCCTCATCCCAGCCAGGCTTCGACACGCCACTCTCAGCCATTGTGGCTCCTCTGCTCCTGTGTGGATTTCTGCCTTGCTCAGCCCCACTAGATGGCTTTAGGAGTGAGTTGTTCATGAAGGGGAATGGAGCTCGATGCTATTCTATAATGTAAATTTAAAAGTTACCTAATAACTTGCCAAACTCAGAAGGTCTATGGTCACATTTTTTAACCAAGATTCTGGAACACGTAATTGAAGAGAAATGATTTCTTGAGTCTCCTTGTGTCAGTTCTTTTTTCAAGATATATTTTTAACGTGATGATACATATTTTAATAAGGGAAAGCTTTGATGTTTAATTGATTCTGCATTCAATGAGAAATAAACACATTTATAGGATTTTGTTTCCAAAATATACATGTGCATTAATTATTTAGGAGTAAGTTGTCTCCAGAGGATTTTGTGTCCAAAATCCATGAAGAAAATTTCAGAATTCAAGCACCAGCATTTCCACACTTACATTCCATCAGATCTGTGGTCTTTTAAGTCAGACAAAAGGTCTAAGGCACTTTCCATTCTACACATGGGATGTATACTAATGACCCTGAGTTTATATTTCCAGCTCAGATCTTGGCCACGGAACTACTTTCAAACTCCCTTACTTTGGGCTGCACTTTGTCTCAGCTGTGCTTAAACTTTGGCATTGAGATGCCTGTGAGATATCAAAATGCACATGTCAGGTAGGCATCCCCTGTGCTTCATGCTCCCGTAGCCAGTGCCTGTGTGACATCTCCATTTTGATGTGTCACAGGCATCTCAAACTCAGCACACCCACACCTGAACCTGTGATCCCCAGTACTGCCCTCTGCAGCAGAGATCTTCTTCTCAGTCTTCCCTACCTCAGTGAATGGCAAAACCACCCCCCAGCCAGAGATCTGCTCCTTTATCCTTTATATAGGCCAGATCAGTGCATCCCTGTGGTCTGTTCTGTTCTTTTCAGCACCGTCTGTCTCAGCCCTACTCCAGCCCACCAACATTCCTCACCTGGTCTGCCTTTGACTTCGTTCTTGCCACCTTGTGATTGATTATCCTCACAGCTGCCAAAGTGATGTCTGCACATTGGATCATGTCACTAACCTACTTAAACACACTTGACAGTTCTTAAGTACAGCTGCATGACCAGCCTCCTGTTCATGTCTCCAGTCTCATCTTGTGCTATTCATCCCTAAGCACTTGGCCTTCTTTCTGTTCTTGGAACGTAGCAGACGTTTTGCCACCTTTGAGCTTCTGAGCATCATCTGCCTAGAAGATCATTAGCTTCCCTATTCCAATTAGAACCTTTGAATCTTTACACTAGAGCCAAATGCTTACTGATGAGTGTGATTTGGGGACTAATTTCTGTTCTCTTACCGTATTATTTGTTTTGTTCTTGGAGGAGAATCTCAGTGGCAATTAGTATGAAATAATTGTTACATTTAACTATTAAGAAAACAGTAGGAAAGCATCTGCGTCCAACTGCTTTTAAAATAAACATCTTAATAAAAATCAATGTAATTATGACATCTAAAATATAAAAAGGAAAAAAAAAGTGCCACAGTGTGTATAAAATATTCAGTATATTAAACACTTTGAAACCCTAGAAGAAGAGGGGATTCAACGTATTACTGTTAGCAAATTGTTACTAGTTTAGTTTTCACATGACTCATTTCAGTAAAGGTGGCGAATTTTTATTCACGGTATTTGTAAATACTATAACAATTCCTTACATGCACATAGCACGGGCCAGTGCACAAGAACACGTGCACGCGTTTTCTCACTTGAATTCCAGCCTCATGAGCATCACCTGGCCAAGTCCAGTTTTCTAGACTCCACCTTCATTCAATAAATACTGCTTCACAGTATCTTATGCATCAAGTGCTATGCTAGGAATTTTTTTGTTTGGTGTTTTATTGGAGTATAGTTGATTTACAATGTATTAATTTCTGGTGCACAGCATAATGATTCACTTATATATGTACATTCCTTTTCATATTCTTTTTCATGATAGGCTCTTACAGGGTGTTGAATATAGTTCCCTGTGCTATATAGTATGAACTTGTTGTTTATCTATTTTTTTACATATATTAGTTAGTATCTGCAAATCTCGAACTCCCAATTTATCCCTTCCCAACCCCTTCCCTTACTGGTAACCATAAGCTTGTTTTTTTATGTTTGTGAGTCTCTTTCTAGTTTGTAAATAAGTTCATTTGTGTCATTTTTTTTTAGATTCCACATGTAAGTGATATCATGTGGCATTTTTCTCTGTTTCTGTCTTACTTCACTAGTATGACAATCTCCAGGTCCATCCATGTTGCTGCAAATGGCATTATTTAATACTTTTTTATGGCCGGGTAGCATCCCATTGTATAAATGTACTGCAACTTCTTTATCCAGTCATCTGTCGATGGACATTTAGGTTGCTTCCATGTCGTGGCTGTTGTAAATGGCACTGCTATGAACATTGGGGTGCATGTATCTTTTTGAATTAGAGTTCCCTCTGGATATATGCCCAGGAGTAGGCTTGCTGGATCCTATGGTAAGTCTATTTTCAGTTTTTTAAGAAATATCCGTACTGTTTTCCATAGTAGCTGCACCAATTTACATTCCCACCAACAGAGTAGGAGGGTTCCCTTTCCTCCACACCCCCTCCATCTGCTGGGAATGTGAACAAAAATGTTCTCTTAGAGCTCATGACCTAGTGGAGGAGACACATAATAAACAAGGCAGCCACCAAATACATACATGTGGTTGGAAGGCTATTTTTTTGTGCTCATACTGTTTCTCTGGAACCAGGAACAATGTCCTGAACTTCCAAACCAAATTTTGGAAGGGGGAGTCAGAGACTCTTTTGGCGTTGTTAAACTCATAGGAGGTTAATCATTTTAGGACATTATAAAAAGATTTTATTGTTTTGTAAGTTATTTGGAGGCAGTATAAAAGATCTTTTTTTTTGTAGATAATCTGTCCATGAGAACTGAGAGCCTATCTTACTCCATCCAGAATGAAATTCAGTGGAATGCAAGGACTTGCAAATTTAGCCTCTGAAGAAGGAAGGGCAAGGAGAGGTGAGCCAGGGAGTTAGAGACAGTGGAGGATGGGAAGAGCAGAGGTCTGGCCCGAAGCGGGAGGGTTTTTCTTCCTCTACCGAGTGTATGTTAAGGTGCCGAGTTGGGAGGATGAGCAGAAGAGAAAAATTCCCCATGCACCCGGCAGAGACCACAAGATACAATTGGAAGCTGAAGAGATGAACCATTTAGCATGTTCTCCTCAGCTCTGTGTGCGTCACTAACCAACAGCAAGCTTCATTACTGATGAATTGCATTAGTACTCGGTGAAAAAATCGGCTGTCTATAATTTAAAGAGAACTACATGTCAGTTGTTAGAGAAAAGAGAGCCAAAGTCTTCATAACATAATAGATCCTTCAATTTTGAAAGGACCCTGGGACTCCTTTGAGCTCCACTCTCACAGTTTACTAAGTAATTACCATAAAGCTGACCCCCTGCCCCTTTCCTGCTCCTGAGATCTCTTATTCTCTACTTGAGAGTCATTAGACCCCCTTCCACTGGTCTCTGCTGCCCAGAAGACAATTCCAGCAGGGTATCTGAGGTTGTGCCCTTATTTAAAAGAAAACTGCAATCTGATGTGTAAATGACTTACTGTGCTGTGTATGTCTAAGGAAGTTTTATAGCATTTGTAAGTGGCATTAGTGAAAATTTATCATCTTTATTGAGACAAGCCATTTGAAAATTAAACTAGAAATAATTTGTTAACAATAATGCTTTGAATTTCCTTTTCTTCTGAGACTTTAAAGTGTTTCATATACTGAATATTTTATAGATGTTCTTGTTTTTTTTTCTTTTAGCATTTTAAATGTCACAATTACATTGATTTTTATTAAGACATTAATTTTGGAATCAGGCTTTTTGTGTCTGTTGTTTTCTTAATAGTAAATTAAGTTTAACAATTATTACATACTAATTGCTACTGAGATTCTCCTTCAAATTATAAAATAAGTTAATACTGTAAGAGAACAGAAATTATTTCCAAAATCACATTCATCATTAGTATTTGACTAATATGAAGATTCAAAGATCTTATTTCACTAAGAAAAACAACATTATTATGATTCATAGTCATTAAACCTCATGCTTGTTTTTTCAGTGGATTAAATTTTCAGCTCCTGATTATCAGATTGCTGTGTGTGTGTGTGTGTGTGTGTGTGTTACATGTAGACAATCAACAGTAAGTCTCTAGGAATATAAGAACCAATGACATATTAAAACTAAACTTTTTCCTCCAATATCTTTTTTTCTTTTGTTCCTTATTTCTCTAAAAGGTGCCATCATCCATCCCATTGCTCAAACCAGCAACTAGGCATCATCTTGACAGCTTTCTCTCCCTTACCTTCTACATCTAATCCAACGCCAAGGTCTCTTTATTCTGCCTTCTAAATGACCTTCTCAATTCTGGCCACTCTGTTCACCCCAGGCTACCACCTTGGTTCAAACTACCATCATCGCTTACCTGGATTGCTGTAGGGCTTCTTAACTGGTCTTCCTACATCCATTTTTCCCCTCTTTTCCATATGGCAGCAGAAATCTTAAAATAATACAAATCTGATCCTGGTCTATCTCTGCATAAAGTCCACGCATTATGTCTCCTAAGATAAAGTTCAAAGCCCTTAATGTGATCTATAAAACCTCATGTGATCTTGCCCCTACAACCTGTTCACTCACCCCCTTGCCAGAGCTACACTGCTTTTGTTCATTTCTTTGAGAACCAGGCATTTCTTCATTTCAGAGTCCTGGCATGTGCTATTCTGCCCTACCTTCTCTGCACTGTCTCAGTTTAAAGTCATTTCCTCAAACTTCTCAGATTTAGATAAGTCACCTTGATGTTCATTGCCGCACCATCCTAAATTTTCTCTTCTTAATACATATAACACTTGTCATTATTTGTTCTAAGTCCATTTTTCCCACTCAACAGATAGATTCAAGGAGGTGAGGATCAAGTCTGAGTTGTTCATCATTTTATCCCTGGTCCCCAGAAGAGTACTCAACACATAGTGAATGCAGAGGAAATGTTTGCTGGATGAATGAAAATGAGTGAATGAAAGACTGATATGAGTATCACTGAGATATTTACTCTTGGTTTTGAATTATTATGATAGTGTGAATTGAGCACAAATGGGTGGTGCTTTTTAAAAGTTTGTTTCAAAGTATCATCAACATTCTTGTCTACTCAAGTTCAAATTAACTTGACAATGTATGGAAACAGAGAGAGAGAATCTTTCAGGTAAGGATATTGAAATATATTCATAAAAGCCCTGAACAGGTGGAAAGGACTCTTTACGAGAATGCATATGGAATGTAAAGTCTAGAAGATACTTGTTTTCTTGTAGTCATGCTACAACGTATCTAAACAGCTCTCTAACATGTAAAGGATGATACAATATGATAACTCTACACTCAACTGGAAATTTGCAGGCATATTAAGAATGCAGAAAAACCAGAAAGTAGGCACACACATGAAAAGTGAAAAAAAAAAACATGTCAAATAGATGCCCAAAGTATCTGTAACCTCAAAGTCTTCACTCCAGTTTTGCTTGCTCTTAATTTGCACATGATAGCAATAAACCTATTTGTTCAGCTATTTCATTTCTAAGGCCAAAACCCCAAATAATAACTGACAGGGAAAGACAGTTGCAGTAACCCACTGTTCCCAATGGCAGTGTCATCTTGCCCTCGTCCAAACTTCTGTGGAACCTTATTTGTGTGACAGAACTAACCATATTCACTAAGGGGCATGATTATGCTTTTAAAAAGTCATTTCCCATTCTTGATCATAAGCTTGTAAGGAAAAAACTTGATTTTTCCTAAGGCTTTCAGAGTATCACACAAAAACATGTCATCGTTGATATTCATAATCAAAACAAAGCAAAACAACTCTTGAGTCATCGAGAGAAAATTAAATTATGTTTAGTATTGTTTGAGGAGCCTGGAATGAAATATTATATTTTAGAAATGTTTTCATCCCTCATAATGGAAATAAAAAGCTCTTCTTCTGAAAGAGCTGAATACAAAGTCATTACTTCCGTTTTTTAAGGGCCACTTGTAACCCATGGAGTGTCTCAGAGCTGAAGTTTTACTGTTCACTACTTCTAATTCTATTGATGTATAGTTTGCAAACGCTTCAAATAACCTAGCTCCACAGAGGATACGTGTTCTCACTTTACAACTAAGGACCTGAAGCTGTAACTTACGTTGTTGCCTCAAGATTATGGCTATTACGGACCAGACCTTTGAGTCTTTTCCAGATGCATTTAGCCAGAAAAGCCATGTAGCACTGTGATAAAATCACAAGTTTTAGTGTCAGAAACATCTAGGTTTGTATTACACACCTTATCCTTGAACATATTCTAGATTATAAATTGCTTCGAGACAGATACCCGTTCTTAATTCATCCTGTATGTCACACTCAGTAAATGCAGGTGTTGCCCAGGTAGATAGACTTGTTTTCTGTGCTCCAAGATTATGATGTATCATAAATAAATCTTTTGTTCCTGAATTTCCAGTTTAGTCAGGTTAGTGATTTTAGCCATTTTCTACTTTCTCAAAGTCTGCATTTTTGTCTCAAAATCTACATGACACCTATTTTTAAATTAGCAAGCCCATGGAATTACCCAAATGTGAATGAGGTTGGTCTGCCTATTGCTTTTATTTTCCGAGCTTCAGCCTCCTGTTGTTGCTCTGTGTTTAAGTAGAGTTCCAGTGTGGAAATGAAATAAAAGCAGCATGTGCTTCTTGCGAAAAGGTGACTAATTTGGATAGGTATAAAGTGAATATTCACTTAGGTATCCCCCTCCATCCCGCTCTTCCGGCATAAGCACTGTTAACAATGACACTGCCCTCTGCATTGCTTCAGTGCACATCCAAACATATCTGTAGGTTTCACATAAGCAGGATCCTGCTGTTTCTGTTGTTTAATCTGAAGAATATGATGTGAAAATTTTTCTTTAGTGGTCTATATTAATCATTTTGAATATCTGTAAGTATCTGTGTAATACAGATACAGCATAATCTACAAAACCAGACTTCTGTTAGTGAACATTTGTTTCCAAGGTGTTGCTGTTACTGTAGCACTGAATGCATAATTTTATGTGTACTGCTGCGAGTCTTCCTTAAGGATGTTTTTATGGAAGTGAAATGTGGGCGGGGCATGGCAAAGGGAATGGACATTTAAACCTTTGAAAGTCATTCCCAAATTAACCCCAGAAAAGTACCATTTGTCTTCTCATCAGCAGCTTATTAGAGTTTATCCTCTTACACCTCACCAATAATTGGCATAACAATCCCTCTTTTTTCTTCATTTTTGTCAGTTAGTGAAGTTATGATTTTACTTTTCAGATTGCTTTAGTTTGCATTTCTTTGCTTACTACTGTTCTGTTCATTTGTTACCTGGACAATAGACTTTTTTTTTCTTCTATGAATTGACTATTAGCATCTTTTGTCCATTTTCTTTTGGATTGCTATCTGTCACAGGAAATTACCAGTGAGGCAAACCATTCTAAAGTATAACAGATATTTGAAGCTAAAAATATCTCAGACATGATCCAAAAATACCCTACCCTTGTAGAAAGTCGTAATGTGCGTGTGTAATGTTTTTAGAAACACAGTTTTATCTCTGGTTAATGTTAGGTTATGTCTCCCTTGAAATCATTTTTACTGCGAAGCATTCTTTCCAGTCTTTTTCGTATTCCTGACATCCATCACTCTTCTCAATATTTCCCTTTTAGCTAATCTACTTAGAGTCAGAATTTGTAGAAGATTCAGTTATCCCAGCAACCTCAGAAGGACAGTTCCTGTCCTTATACAAATGTCTTTTAATAGACGAGATGGCAAGAAGTAAAGACCTTTAAGGAAATATATAGGAGGTGTTCATGGTTTGAGACAACGTTTGCACTAATAATCTATGGTGTTCTCCTCCAGGACGTGTTTCTCCTTCTCATTGTTCATTTTTCCCACCCTTCTCTCCTCTTTCCTTTCTCTTTCTCCATCTTCCTCT